AACCTGCATGTATTTAGAGGACAGTCAAAAACCACATCACATCTTTAGCTTCAACAAAATGCCTTCCTTTCATTGATGTTTCATAAGTCTTTATGAGTTCTCAAGAGTGTCGGTGCTCTTGTACTTTTGCAATTACAATAACCTTCTTTTGAGCTTCGCAGTTATTTCAAAAACTGTGCATAATTTTGTCCATGAAAAGTCATACCCTGTGTTTACAGCTTTGAATACAAAGTAAATGATGACTATGGACCATTCCTCATCAGTGTGAATGGCTTGACAGGAAATTCATCACACTACTGGCAACTGCTGAGTGGTATAACCTCACTTGATGTTGGTGAGTGAACCATTCTTTCAATGTGTTAGATAAGCTGAGGTCAGACATTTGATGCACGCAGTCCGGCTTGTCCCATTATAATATTCTCTGAAATTTTTTTTTAACAGGTATAGGATGTTACCTTCCAAAGGCAAATGAAGTCATCACCCTTAAATACACCTCAACACAACAGGATCATCTGAAATCTCATTCTGACTTATAGTCAACCAACATGCTTTGGTTTTTGACAGGTTTAAGTTAATACTTAGTTTTTGGGTAATTTTTCTGTTTGGAAGCTTTTCATGACAAAATGTGTCTAATCATAAGTTGGTAGCCTATCACTGTCTTAGTTTCTTTGACTGGGTTTGTGTTAGACTTTATCAATTAAGATTACAGCTTTTATCTACACGTCTGCCACAGTGTAGCAACCTGAAGTAACAGAAAACTCCATTGGTTACAAGAGTAATCAGTAAAACATTTAAAGTTTAAAGACATGCAAGATTTGCATATTAGTCAACTGAAGTTCTTGAACTGTTTCTTAATTTACTGCGCTTATGGCAACTTTTATTGTGTTTGAGAGTAATTAGTAGTTTCTCGACTTGCCCCTGTGTGCTATAATTTTACATTCAAATTCCATTGTTTGAGAGGTACTTATATACTGACAAGGGGTATCAGTTTCAGTGTAAAAAGATTGTTTGGTTATACAGTAGACTCTCCAAAGGCTGCTGGCCAGGAAAACCAGCCAATAAGGGCAGCTTAGCTTTAAAATGGCTTCTGCATTCTGTGAATCCAGTTATCAACAGCTTGGGAGCCAGGAGGTTTCTGAGATTGACTGGGAAGCTGACCTCCTCTTGGACACCAGCAAGTCTCTAAGATCAGCTGTGAAATTACAACTATTTTTGAGCTTTTGGGGCTCCTATGGGGTTGTGAGCAGAATAAGAACAAATAAATTGCTTAATAATTTTTGTATTAGTGCATTACTGTTGAATAACTGTTTAATAAAAGCCTCCACTAACCACTCTGGTTTGGTGAGGAAAGGAAAAAGAAAACAGTAAAATATGGTGCCATTTCTCGCATTATGTCACAACAAAGTAAAAAAACAACAACTGGAGAATGGGATGTATGGTGAGCAAATCCCCATAAGTCTTTATCTGTCAAAACCTTAACACTTATTTTTTTAAAGTTCCTATTTACTCCGGTGAATACTTCATGCTCTGTTTTTTTTCCTGGCTTGCTCTCTATCTGCTTGCACTGCAATTATTCTTATTACCTCATAATGCTTTGCAAGACAACTATAGTGCCATCACTCCCCTCTGCTGGATAAAATTGGTACTGCATATATTAAACATTAAAACTGGCTTGAATAGCAGTGGATAACTTTGAGAGGGTTACATTCTCTTCCTCTTACAGTTTTTACCGAATGCCTAAACACTAACTGTGAATCCTGTAGCACAATTTCTAAAACTAGTCAGACGTATAGCAAAACCACTCACTGAGTGTGCAAAACTAAAAGCACAAAAACTGCTTTGCACTCAGTTTGCAATTTTGTAACACACACTTTGCAAGACTGTAGGCACAATTCACTGCACAACACTCAATTTCCAAATTTCCAACACACTCCTAGCAAAAGTATACACATGTATGGCTATCATTAACACTAATTTGCCAACTGTCTGGCACACTTTCACATGTGAAAACTTTCTTAGATAATTCGTTCACTTTGCAATCAGCCTAAGCACTATAATACAGGTAAGCTGTGTGTGCGGAGTACAATGGTGGGAGCAGAAAGAGTGAGAAGTAGAGGAGGCCGAGGAAGAGGACGTGGAGGTGAAGAAGTAGGATGAAGAGGACGACAAGGACAAGGAGGAGCAAGAGGAAGACGAGGAGGGGGCAGAGGAAGCATGTTCACTGCAGACCACGTAACCCATATAGTCATTATGGCGATTGCAAATAATCCTATACTTGGAAATAAACACTTGTGTTTGTTTTGATGTGTTTGACTAAACACCAGTACTTGAAGTTTGGATCCCTCTATGCTTATGGATCTATGACAGAAGTATGAGCTCAAACTGACATAGCCTACCTTGTGCACAGAGAAAGCAAAAGCCAGATGTGTTTTGTATTCATACCATCAGTGTGCAGTTGGCGCATTGTGTGCTTAGTAGATGATGGCTTGTGTGTACTGTTTGATACGGAAACACCATTTTTACAAAGGTGTGAAGAGTTAATCTAGCTGTGTTTGCTTTTGCAAGAGAACTAAAATGTTTGGATAATTGGGTGACAGGTTGTTTTATTTGTGTGTAGAGTTTTGCTAAATTAGCCAATAGTTACATAACATGTGCTTAAGCAATCAGAAAAAACTGTAAGCCGCATGCATGTGGAACTTTACACTGTTTCAGTGTCCTGGGGATAAGTTGATCTACACTACGTACACTGTCATGGGTCAAGGCTAAGGTGAAAGCTTGGTCTAACCCAGACAGAATGGAGTACATGACTCTCACTAAAGCGGACCTTCCCAAAGTGTGGGGCTCAGTTCAACTTCAGTTGACTAATATGCAAATGAAAAGGGGGGGGAAAAAACAAAACGCTTGGACACTGCTAGCACAGAGCGCCCACAGAAACGCAAAGCAGGAGATGAAGCATAGCTGAATATGTTTCCAAACCAACTTCATTCTAAGCCAAAGACTAGAAAATATGGTGAAGCATATCTTCCCTTTGGTTTCACCTGCACAAGTGCCGAGGTAGGTCTCCCTGCAGAATTGGTTTTCCCTGCTGTTCAAATCACAGACAAACAGGATCCCACAGTTGTTTATGTTTTTAAACACATTTTGCACAGAGAGGCATTTTTTGAAAAATGTATTGATAGCAATGTTGAATATTATTACACATGAAAAAAAAAACGACTTGTAAAATAATCACACCATGACGCATCTGTCTTTCTAAATGGAAGGACAGTAACTGCGTGTGTATATGCAAGTGTGTAAAACCTGAAGATAGTCAGATTAACAGTATTTCGTCTCTATCTGCCATTCTGCAGTTCATCTCATGTAAAAAAATAACGTGCGTGACATGAAAAAGGCGCATACCTTTGACGTTGCGACCAACTCTGTATTCATCGTCCACATGTAAATGAAAAAAAGGAGTTTAAAAAATCTCCGTTTTCGGTGATTCAAAACGGCGTTTACGTGTGAACGAAACAGCTGCGTTTTCAAAAATACCGTGTAGGTGTGGACGAAGCGTAAAAGAGTTAGTAGTTTATTTTATTACTACCTGTAATTTATTGCAGGTTACTTGTATTTGCTTAATTGTTTACTAAATGTTTGAGGTGTGAAATAAAGCGCAATGGAGCAAAATATGGGCGTGTGTGGTTGGAGGATGTGTGCGTGCGTGTGCATGGGGGGGGGCGAGATCTCGCAAAACAAACTCGGGATCTCACAAAAGTTTTGCGAGATCTCGCAAAACAAACTCGGAATCTTGCAAAAGTTTTGCGTCTTAATTGTTTTTTCCTCCCATGTCCCCTGATGTCCCCTCAAAATAACTCAACACACAGCCATTAATGTCTGAACTGCTAACAACAAAAGCGAGTAAACCTCTGAGGGGAAATGTCCAAACTGTGCCCAACTAGCCCTTTCCCTTCCCGTTGTCATGTGATTCGCTAGTGTTACAAAGTCACGGGTTTTAATAGGGGGGAGGTTAAACTGTTAAACTTGGTGTTATTGCTCTCACACTCTCATGCTGGTCACTAGAAGTTTAACATGGCACCTCATGGCAAATAATTCTGTGAGGATCTGAAAAAAATAATTATTGTTCTACATAAAGATGGCCTAGACTATGTGGCTAAGACCACTGAAAACTACTACTGCAACTGAAAACAGATAAGTAACACCCTTTGACTCGCTATAACCTGGAGCTGTTCTGTGAACAAGAAATGCAGCTCAGAATAGGAATAGAAATCTTTAACAAGTAAAATAATAAAGCACATCAGCTCCTTTACTGGTAACTCGCAATACACAAGCAGAGTAGTGACTCAGAAAGCTAAAATTAGCTAATAGTAGGCTACCTGAGCTAATGTTTTTGATGCTATTTAGAGAACAAATTTCTAAATTTGTAAGTCAAAAACATCAACCCTGCATTATCAGAACATTTTGAACTTTTGCTATATTTCAGTTAAAGTGTGCATTAAATCTGCATCACTGATTTGTGCCATGTCAGCAAGAATAAAGCAGGCCGGGCGCAGTACAGGAGCAGGAAATGATACTGTACTGTAGAGAGAGCCAATTTCAAGTTAAAGTCAAAAAGGAAGGAAAAATACACTAAAAATTCTTCTAAGACATTTCGGTACCAAACTAGAAATAAGGTTAAACCCACACAATGTCCTTTCTGTCAGCAGCACACCTTACCTTTGTGAAGCATGAATGCTATGAATGGTAACAACAACGTGGTATTCATTTTCCAAATGATACAGCTCCACATCATAGTATTACCATTTCTCAACATAGCTTACATATTGCATTTGAGACTGTTTGATTTTTTCATTACAGTGATTTAACTACCAAGCAATAAAAGTGCTCAGTTATGTAAAGAAGAAGGCTGAAGTCTGACAAATCACTTAGGTGTCAAATTCGCGGGTCGAATTCGAACCTGCAATTAAACGATTAAATGCAGAAAAAATGCCAAATGTAGCAAATGTTATTCAAATTAAAAGTCCTCCTATGCAATTTAATATACATGGTCACCTTTTGTCATTCGATAACATCCATGGTTAGTCAACACAGATTTAAGCTTCTCTTTTTTTTGATTGCACAAGTAAAGGGCTTGGTTATTTTTCTGTATCATCATTGGTTGTTTCTGTATAATGTCAAGTGTGGCGCAGAGGTATAAAAGTTCCTAATCTGTAGTTCAGCTTCAACTTGAGGAGGAGGAACTGTTCAACTGAAAAGTTACAACCTCCACGGCTGCATTCTTACACATTTATTGAAAACAGAACTTGAAAAAGGTAAGAATATCTTTAAATATCATTGATAATAAATAAAAGCAGTTTACCTTTGATCTACTAACATACTAAAGTGATTTCCATGTCTCCTTTTTTTTCAAAGGCACAGTAACCTTTAATATTTAAATGTATCCAGTCTAACGTTTCAGATTTCTAACATGCAGTCTTTATATTATAAATAAAAGGCAGCACCCAAAGCGGTCAACATTAAAATAGTTTACTTGAATTAAAATGTTTATTTTACTGCTCTGTGCGGTTCTGTTACATTTTTCATGTTTTTTACAGATTTTTGTCACCATTTTATCATCTGCTAACGTCTCTGGTTAGAGTAGGCTACACTCACAGGGATAACATGACACATGAAATCCTGGGCATTCAGAGTCTGAAGCAGAAAGCCTGACTTAACAGGGAAAGTTGATGGCCACTAATGAGATACTCTTTATCTCCAACTTAGACTTTAGGGTTTATCAAGCAAGAAAAGCTTAACTTTGTTGAACTTCCTTAATATTGCACACCTCACTTTTAGAAATGATGGGGAGATGCTGACAATCGGAGCAATGCCAACATCCCAAACACTGGTTGTGAGAACAAATACCTTACCAATACTACAATCAAGTGAACCTTTAGATGACTTGATAAACTCACGTACCAAATAAAAATAATAATAAAACATGAAGAGGTTTTATTCCATTATAAATGCTGTATTTTGGGATGGTGATACTCAGTCTTCAGGAACTGCTTTCCACAACGTATGTTTGTGTTCATGTTTGCATATCAAAATTTTATGTTTGCCCTGCAGTTGAAATGAAGAAGCCTGCTCTCCTCTCTGCAGCCCTGCTGCTGCTGTTTTTTAGTGGGACATCAGCTCAGGGTAAGCTATAAAGCAAAAAGATCACCTTTATTGTTTTTCTGCTCATCTTCGGTAAACTAACTTCACCCTCCTTTGTTATTTAAGGTAACACTAACTTCAGAGTGCAAGTGAATGTGCCACCCACTAACATTAAGACCTACAACACTTCTACTGCTTATAGAGGCAGCCTCTTCGGTGGACTGACGAGACTGAAATACTCAAACCAAGGCTTCAAGTAAGACCATGATATCAACTGTTTCCTTACTAGAAGAAGCCATACCTTTTGTTTTGTTCTCTTAACTTTTAATTAAAATTGAGACCCCGTATATCTGGGTGTGAATTTTTAATTCCAGATGACTAATTGTGCCCTGTAATGTTTGTTGACATCTTAAAATAAAACAAATCTTCATACTTTTTTTCTTACAGTAGACCACAGAAACCTGTATATGTACAGTACAGTCAAAAACCACATAACATCTTTAGCTTTAAGAAATGCCTTCCTTTCATTAATGTTTCATAAATCCTCATGAGTTTTTGAAAGTGTCTGTGCTCTTTTGTGCAGTTACAATAGAGGACCTTCTATAACTCTTCTTTTCAGTTGAATTTTATTTATATAGCACCAAATCACCACAACATTTGCTCAAGGTACTTTATTTTGTAAGATAAAGACCCTGCAATAACATACAGAAAGTCCCAACAATCACATGGCCTCACACAGGAGGGAGACAGGACAAAAGACGCAAAACAGCCAGAGATTAATAATAACTAATAACTGAATGCAGAGTTATGTGTAAAAACATAGAGAGTGAAACTATTTGCATTGTTAAGAAGGATTTCATAGTTATATTAAAAACTGTCCACTTCACTCTTTAAAAAGTCATTCCCTATGTTTCCAGCTTTCAGTACATACCACACGATGACTATGGACCATTCCTTCAGAGTGTAAATGGTTTGGCAGGAAATTCATCACACTACTGGCAACTGCTGAGTGGTAAAACCCCACTCAATGTTGGTGAGTGAACCAATCTCACAATGTGTAAGATAAGCTGAGGTCAGACATTTGATGCACACAATCTAACTTGTCGTATTATATAATATTCTCTGAACTTTTACATTTTTTTTACAGGTATGGGATGTTACCTTCCAACTGCAAATGAAGTCGTCACCCTGAAATACACGAAAATTTAAGACCATCTAAAGTCTTATTATGACTCATGGTCAACCAATACACTTTGATCTTTGGCAAGTTGAGGTGAATAATTGACTTGTGTCATTTTTTGCTTGGGAGTCTTCTAATCATAAATCAGTAGCCTATCAGTGGCTTAGATTCTTTTACTGGGTTTCTGTCAGACTTTATGAATTAAGATTACAGCGTTAATCTACAATTCTGCCACAGTGTAGTAATCTGGAGTAATAGAAAACTCCATTAGTCACAAGAGCAGTCAGTAAAACATATACAACAACTTGAACTGTTTTTTAATTTACTGCCTTTATGGCAACTTTTATTGTGTTTGAGAGCAATTAGTAGTTTCTCAACTTGCCCCCATGTATCATAATTTTACATTCAAATTCCATATTTGATGCTTACAAGTGGTCTCAGTTTTACTGTAAAAGGATGGTGTGGTTATACAGTAGACTGCCCAGAGACTGCTGGCCAGCAAAAACAGCAGGGGGGGTCAGCTGCTGACTCCATGTCAAAATAGCTTCTTTATCCTGCAAATCAAGTTATCAACAGCTTGCGAGTCAAAAGGCTTCTGAGATTGACTGGGCTGCTGACCTCCCCTATTTTTGAGCTTTTGGGGGTTTATTAGAGTGGCAAAATAAGATCAAATTCAATGCTGAATAATTTTTGTATGAGTGCATTTTTATTGTTGAATAAAATGTTACTGATTATTAGTGTTATCTTCCTCAGGCATTAAATAAAGCATGTAACTTGTAGTCCAAGTAAAATGTTTCTAGCCTTGGTTTGTTTTATTTTTAGACAGGCTTATTTTAAAGTGTTGTTAGCATGTCCATCATTATGTATCCTAAAACAATGACAGCTCTAGACCAGGGGTGTCAAAAATCAGGCCAGAGGCCAGAAACGGCCGTCATTGACTCCACTCTGACCCTCTGGATGGCTCAGGAAAATGTGAAGGAGTGCATAGATTTTGAATTTCTAACTGTATTTTTATAAGTTTACAGCTTTTCCTATTAATAAAGAGCCCGCCTCATTTATACTACAGCAAAGTAATTAATAGATAAACAATCAAATGACAGACATTTCTCTGCTATATAAATTTACAGTGGATTCACAGGAGAAAGTATATTTTCTTTGAATGAATGAAAAATGTATATTTTAGAATCACGGGATAGTCTGGGAAATGAATTACTTTTTGTGTAATTTTACACATGTATCATGTAATTTCACTGGTCTGGCCCACTTTGGATCAAAGTAGCTTGTAAGTGGCCCACGATGTAAAATGAGTTTTACATCCCTGGTTTAAACTGCAAAATTAACATTTAGTTTACAGTAAAAGTATTCTGACAACTAACAGCATTGCTAAGAACACTGTAAAAAAAAAATCTGTCAAATTTACGGTAAAATACCGGCAGCTGTGGTTGCCAGGAATATACCGTGTAAAAAATGTGGAATCTGTAAAGGACAATACGGTATACTGGTTTTGTAACCCTAATTTTTAAGGTAGACAACGTATTATTTTACCAAAATCATGATAGAAAAAACCAAATATATTTGTCAATTATACAGCAATTTAATGTAAAAAATGCAACTTTCCATAGCTTTTTACGGATATTTGCAGTAAAAAAAAAGTAATAATATAATAATATTTACAGTAATTTGTTGTTAATTTAACAGTAATAGGATAGACCCTATTATTGTAAATAACTGTAAAAATAACAGAAATATGTTAAACCTTATTAAAACCTTTGACAGTAAAAAACACAGTGAAATTGTATAACAAATTACAGCATTTGCATTACAGCACGGTAAATTCCTGGCAACCACAGCTGCCGGTATTTTACCGCTAAAAATACAGTACAATATGAGGAACATAAATGGTTTACCGTACATTTTACATTTGCAACCGCTAAATATAGAAAAATCTAAAGATGCTCATATACAACCAAGGTAGAGAATATTACTGATAAACAATGAGAAAATTTGACATACCATTTGAAAACAGACTAAACATATTATTTCTCTATTCCTACAAAACAGCATAGATCTTGAGAATACAGCATGTGTCCATATATATGGCTGGTAATCCATGGAGGAATGAATAAACATGAAACAAAATATTACCTGCCCCTGACCTATCAACAGTAATGAGTCACTGGGTCCTGCCTTGGTGAAGGAAAGGACTCGGTGGAGTTTCTAATGCGCATGGTGTTGAAGATACAAGCTCTGCAGGAGTACTTCAATGTCCATCAGGAGTTCACTTTGGACTGGCAGGATCCCCTCTGCAGCAAAAAAAATGGACAAAGTTTGATCAGTGCTTGAGCAAAATGCACAGAAATGAACAAAACGTGCTGCCAAAACCAGATCTAATGATAATGATTTCTTAAGTGTAAAATATACAGTTCTTAAAGGATAGCTATTGTCAAAATGCAACCTGGGCTGTTTTTTTCAGTTTTTTTTTTTTTTTTTACTGTAAACAAGACAAACATATATCTAAAAGCATAATTACGACAAACAAGCCGTTTTTGAGATTGACCGTGATTTTGTTTTGTGGTCAATAGCCAGTGAATGGGAATACTAGGGGGCCGGGGCATAAATTTGAGCACATCAAAATCGATACAGTAAAAAAAAAAAACAAACAAAAAAAACAGCCCAGGTTGCGTTTTGGCAATAGTTATACTTTAAATCTACTTATGTAAAAGTTATACATAGACAACGCACAATCATAATCATAATTTGTTGGAAAACGTATTTAAGTTTCGTATTGATTTATCATAGAACTTGAAGTTAATGGCTGAATGCATGGTGATGAGACCTATCATTCAATCTACATTTTATAGCGTATGAAACTGCTCACCTGGACATGAACCTGAGCTCGGCTGATTAAGATTAGTGTCTCCTGTCCATCTTTCTTTAGCAAAACTTGAATAATACCACTGCTTACCTCTTATTGAATCTTTGGGTGCAGACTTAATTGAAGAGCCTCGTATAAACAGGCAGGGTGTGATGTTTAGGGAAACCAAAGAATACAGCCGCCATCATTTCTGCCAGAAGACTCATTGGGTGCAACGAAGCTTTCATTGTGGACTGGCTAGATACCTTCTGCATTCAGAAGGAAAACAAGAAGGGCATACACCATAAACAATAATAACTGACAAAAATAATGAGACAAGAAATTAAAGTAACAAAATAAGTGCAAATCAAGTTTCCCTGTGTTACAGTGTAGCTGAATGTTTTTCAACAATTTGATTTACGGTAAAACACATACCAAATATTTCCAGCCAAGGTTTGTTTCAATCTTCAGCATTTTTTTCCTGCCATTGTCTTGAAACTGTTTCATCTGTCTCTCTCATTTGATGCTGTTTACAAAAACAAAACAGCAATATTGTAAAGGGAAAAAGGAAATTTAATTTAATGGAAAAAAAAGATTATGACCTGAAATCTCACCATTTCCTGAGAGTCACAGGTCCTTTGAGTATCCTTATGGTTTCTGCTCAAATTCAGTGTCTGAAAAGGGCAGGAACAAAACAAACCTTTTTAATCATAATAAAGACAAAATAAGATTTAGAGACAGACGACAAAGAAATGTGTAAAATATCTTCTTGAATCTGTTTACTTTACTAACCTTGAAAGAGACTCTTGGGTCTTAGCTGTGCCACCACCCTTAAACCTTAAAACAGATGGAGACGATATGCTGGCCTGGCTTGAAATTTCCATATTTGGTGCTGTAAAACAATATCACAAACAATAGATTAATTGTACTTTTTGGACCTTGGCCAAAGCATAATAGAAAAAACAGAAAGTCCTTCATGGCTATTGTGCAATGAAATCATAATACTTACTGGTTTGTTTCTCAGATGTCTCCACTCCTAATGATTGTAGTGCCTCCAGTACAATTTCAAGGATTGAGGCAGACAGGTCCGGCAGCACCTTAGTAATGGAACTCCTTATGCTGCCCCCCATTTCCAAGATGTCTGATAAAAGAATGTGAATAAAGGTCAATTTACACCAAGTGGTACCTTTGGTCTTAAAATATGAAGCTGATCTTGCTTGATACTACACTTTTATACAGTGTTTCGTAAGTACCAAACTAACAGCACCATTATTGTGACAGCACACTGTGTTTCAGTGGAACCATTTGGTACCCATACTTCATGTAAGATGTTAATGGATAGAAATCAATTAAGTCAATGGGTTTTGACCAAAAAAATCATTTTATTTAAAACAGCTTACTATCACTTATGTCACACAGAACATCAGCAGGAGGCTCAGTAGAGGGCTCTTCTGATTTCTGCCACAGATCAGACTCTAGCAGACATCTCAAAGTCTCTCTTAAAGGCACATAATAGGCAAACCTATCTTTTCTGTTTTCATCTCTCCCTAAAAATATTTTCTTTGGTTCCGCATAGTTGAAGGCTTTTTTAAAGATCTGAGCTCTGGAGTGCACTGTCCTCAATGGCCCGGTATGACATGCAGAAAAAAGATCATAGCTTTTGACAGACTCACAGACTTTGTTGATGTCCTCCTCTGATAATGATGTGTCATCTTTTAACAGTGATGCAAGTTTACCCAAACTGTATGTCTGTCCCAACTCATGCATGTTCTGCATTTCCTCTACAATGTTCTGTATGGTTGAAGCAGGCAGTAGAAACTGACCCTGCAATTTTAAGTAGAATAGTGAAACGTTTCTCAGAAAAAGATCACAGAATTCAGGGGGCATTTCCATGTTATCTTCATGTGTAATAGACTGTGCAGCAGGCTCGGAAATCAAGGGTACAAAGTCATCTGATGTGGTTGGAACAGATGATGATTGACATGCAGACTCTCTATATAAATCACCAATGCTGCTGTCTGAAAACTCTGTGTTTACGTGACATGTGAGCAGTAAAAGATGATTTAACTCTAAAGGTATTTGTGCATCCTCTTACTGGACAAGTGACCACGTGTCCTTCCACAATATGGCTCTTCAGATGAGCTATTAACTCTTTAGAGTTCTGACACTGACGTTCACACATCGCCATTGCACATGTAAACGAAGAAACCACCGCCACACCAGTGACATGGGTGGGGGCAGTGTCTTCGGTAAAAATGAGCCTTAAACGCGCCATACCTGGTGTATGTCTGCTTGCAGCCTGCTTCAATACACCGAAAGAAACAACGTGGCTCATTCCGATGCAGTTTACAATGAAGCACGTAGCCCCTTGATGACTGAACTACCTTACCACAGAAATTACACGTTAACATAACTCCATGTACTTTGGTAATTCCTCCCTAGCGAATTAAGCACGCCATATACAGAAACTAATCCAGAGCAATGCTTCCCTCGCAACAGTAATGCTAACTCAACTCACAAATGCTAACTAAATTCACAACCTCACTCATAAAAAACGAACTGCTAAAATTATCTATAAACGCTGGGCTGGTGGATTTTTATAACAGAGATAACTTGAAGTTGCATGTACTCACCTCACCTCGAACTAATTGTAAGCTGCCAGGATGTCTACAAATTCCGAAGATGCTGTGGTCCAAGCAGCAATAAATGGCGCTAATATACGAGTTCAAAACTGTGTCCGTTAGCGAAGCCAACTTGAGTCTCCTGCATGAAAAAAAGAGCGGTTGGCACACAGCTCAGCAGCGCGCCGCGCTATTGGTCATTTTCAGGTGACGTCATCCCGCAATGTAACGTCGCTCTTTGTTTCTTTAGGAGGTTCGAATTTGATCAGAAGTCACGTCTGCAGACCGCTGCAGCCACGTCTTACCTTGCTTCCCCTTTTTTTTGGTGAAATGGTTCGCTCATACTGCACAATGTTGCTACCAGATTTTTTTTCTCTGCAATTCGAACGTAAAACGTCTGTACACAATTTACCAGCAGTTTAGCTACCAATCAACACAAATTCAAAATTTAAGGCCGACCCACTTAAGGTGGTCTGATAATATGGCGTGAAACACAACAACATAAAGTTGTTTTAAAATAATAATTAAAAAAGATTATTGAAATCAATTTTATTCACAACCATAAACTTTATTTTTAACATCTTCTTTTGCTGTTGATTTTTTTATCAGAAGGTTAACAATGATATACTGCAGGCCTAACTTTTAATCTGTATATCATCTTTCACTGCTGATATTTGCTTTTTTTTAATGGTATGTACTGGTTGTATTATTACGGTGGACCCTATTTTTTAACATCTTGTTTCTGTAAAAATGAATGTTTTTGTTTGCTTAAAAATCTACAGCTTTATACTGTGAATTCCAATGTGCACAACCCCAAAAGATGTAGTTTTACTCAAATAATACCGTAAAATCTAAGTTTTTCAGACATTTTCAACATTACAATATGTAATTGTAAAATGTATGCATATTTATTTGTTTTCACAGAAAATATTTATAATTTCAACATTTTATTACAGTAAAAAACAAAGTTTTATCCAGTCTCACAATTAACGGTTATTCAATCTATTTAATACAGTAAAAGGAAGTTTTTGATTTTACGCTCCATTACCGTTGGAATTTGACGGTGTTTTGCTGTATATTTTACTGACTTTTTTTTACAGTGAAGCTACTAAGAACTGTTACATCTAGGAGAGAACTGACATTAGCCAAATGTTTGTAGATATATTCTTAGGGCAGGTTAACATTGTGCCTATGAAAAGGTAGCAGTGGCATCTTTGGAAAGATCATTAGCAGCTGCACAAATGTCTTTGACCTCAGGTTAATTCATGGACTGCTCAGTATTTGGAAAACATCCCAACAATCAAACAGCCCCATATGAACAAACACTTTTCTACAATGGGATGGAAAAAACTCTGACAGAACCATATTAAAGAATTTAAGGATTAAGCCATCTCCCCTAACCATTTGGAGGATGAGGGGAAAGAAAAAGAAGAAGAGAAGAAAGAACAAAAGACACAATATGGGAGAGGGAAAACAAAATTTAATGACATAGTAAAGCATGCCACTGGTCCACTGTGTCCATTCCATGCTTTGCCTCTCCAGAGCGTGAAATTGACACACATGCAAAAGTTGCAGTACTAGCATATTATATTTGAAGTCAAGAAGTTGCTAATGAGCAAGGAAGGTTAGAGAATTGGCAAAGACAGCTGGACCAGGTAAGAGCTTTTTAACTAATAGGAATAGGAAGATGTCTTAGCTTTACAGACAGCTATGTTTTCAGAGTAAAAAACTATTTCTCCAGGCCAAACAAAGATCTTCTAGATGAGCGCAAATCCATTTCCTCTTCAGCTTACTCATTATTAGATGAAGTACTTTTGTACTGCTTCCAAGCACTTTGCTCTCAGTTAGGTTCTCTTATCCTGTATATATGCCTCTACACTGTATGTATATCTTTTCTGTCTGTTATTTCTGATGTCTTTAATATTTATATATATTCTTTTACCCCTGCACAGCTGGCGTGGAGCACCCATCATTTTGTGGCACATGTACAATGACAAAAAAGGGCTATTCTATTCTAATATTTGCTTTAAAGTGTGTGTTTGAGAGTTACACAGTACCAGGAAATCAAGCATCTCTGTCACAGTCCCGGACTGTGTGATCCAGCGCTTTGAGTTTTCTTGTATTTTGATATTCATTGTTTATGTTTAGTCCTTTTGGTATTAGCTCCTAGGTTCCTCGGTTGTACTTCTTTGTTCATTTAGATTCCTTTGGGTCTTCACCCCTGTTTTAAAGTTCCCCCTGTTGTTGAGTGTGTCTTGCCTGTCATGTTTTTGTCTGCATGGTTAATGTTGTCAAGTTCATGTCATGTCTGCGTTTTGTCATGTTTCCTGTTTATTTTGAAAGTCTGGTTTCAATGTCCATTGTGTTTAATTTACATTTTTCTGTGCATCATTATGTTCATTCTAGTCAGCTGTTTCCTCATGTGTCTCCACTTCCCCTGATCACCTCATATGTGTATTTAAGTCCTTTGTCTCTTACTGTTCATTGTCAGGACGTCTGCCTATTTCCCTTCATATTGATCAAGTCATAGTCACAGTACTAGTTGCAGTCGCGGTCATAGTTCAAGTCACAGGTTTACTTTTGTCTATTTACCTTCATGTAAACTTGGTCTCGTTTTTAGTTTAGTTCATGTGTTTGGCCAGAATAAAGGCTCGCCTTTAGTTGAGAACGCAGTTCCTTCCTTCAGTGTCTGCTCTTGGGTTTGTGCAACAAAACACACCGGTGTAACCTGCCGTGACAATCTCTGACTTGTCTTGTTTTTCAGAGGAACCATTCAGGGCCATACACAGTGAGGATGTAACACTATTAACAAGGCAATTACCTTTGTGGGAGTAACGTTTAGGTAGCTGATCTGCATTGTGTTGGCACGTGGCATTGAAGAAGATAACAGTGAAGGAATCATTTGTTGCTTTGCTGTAATCTTAGTTACAGCAAAGCAACAAATGAAATGATTCACTAACAGGGACTTGGAGGAGAGAGGCCTAATGTTTAATACTCCACACTTACTCAATGGTGCAGTTGAGGGTGTTATATTGAAAAGTGAACAAAAATAGCATTTTTATATTGTGACTAAGAATTTCATGTTAGGAAGTTTCATGTATTCTACATGCTTTTTATTTTTATTTTTGCATTATCCTGAAATGTAACTATATACCATTCAGAAACTGTCACTTGTTGTTTTTTACAATGTGAATTTTTTTTTTATTCGTGTTCTCAAATATTGAACTTCTTCAGGTGGTTTGGAAGTTAGTGGGGTTTTTTGTTTGTTTGTTTTTTACATACCAGCCAATACTCAGACAGCTTTCATCTTCAAGAGGTTTTTTTAAATCTAGAAAAGTAGTTTTACAGCACTCATCATATATGTTCAACAAAATGTGTATGCAAATGGTTGTGCAGAAAACAGAACATAGCTAGCAGATGAAAATGTAGGGTGTGCGAAAGGTCTCGTAGCAGTTTAAACTGAAACCTCTAGTAATAATGACCCACACCCACCTTGGCTTGTGTAATGAGGCACATGATTAATAGTGGGGTACTACCCTTCTTAAGGGACAACCCCAACTAGAGTTTAAATACCTGGGACTTTCCACCATTTGGTTTTAGAACTGAAAAAGTCTCTTTGATGAGAGGTGAAAAACTTTCCCAAAACTTAAAGTCCAACTTAATTTTTACTTCTAACAATTTGTTATAAACACAAAAGTGTTAAATTCCAAGTGTCTTCTAATCAACCATACAAACAAAAGAGACCAAAAATTTAAAACATCTGGCAGCAGTAAAGGTTGCCAAAGATGCTTTTATACTAAGAGGACAGGGCAGTAGAAGGGTGACAGGAGACATCCTGATGATACTGCCAAGTGGCAGCATGTAAATAACAAAAAGTACTGGTCCCAGTACTTTTTTTTGGTTCTGTTATTGTGGAACTGTTACTGTGAATTTGGATAAATTTGTCAAAACAGTCATTACAAAGAGGCTTTGAAAACAGATTTGAAAATGGGACGTCTGACCGAGTCAAATCTAAAGATTAATCAGTCATGCAACAATGAATTTGTGCTGTTGTTCTGGTATTTTATTACATGGTCTGCGTTTTACAGGCCCAACTTTTACAGGCATTGCAAACTAGCTTAGGCTATAAAAGCAATGTTGTGTTGCTTGCTTCATGTGACATACCTGTCCCAGTGTAAAACTAAACTAAACTGCATTCAAAGTGGTTTATTTTGACGTTTGTCATGTCACTTCTTAAATCTTGTCCTGAAAACTCAATTAATTAAAAAAATCCAAACAAATGATAATGCTGGTGTTTGTTTACTGAATACTAATACTGAGAGGATGAAACAAGTCATATCTGATAATCCATATGTACTGTATAAACATATATATATGGTCATGGTCCACGGGAGTGTCTGGGGGTTTCCACCTATGGCAATTGATCTTCTGTCCACCCCTTCGGGGTGGAGCTTCCAGCATCTCACCTGGGGCTCATCTGCAAGAAATCAGTAAGAGAGCTTCTTAAACTGGTGCAACCTGCTACTCCTTGCCAGTTCATTATGCTCTCCGCGGAGGTAACTAGGAAACT